AAGTTTGAAGTTGTTGCACTATGGGCATTGTGATAGATACTTAAGAAAGCTTTTGGGGCGTTGTGCCAATGCTAAAGCTGCTTTTCATTAGGCCTCATGTGTCTCTATCTTGGTGTCATGGTGTGTAGCTTTAAGGTGAAGCATATATGATATGCCTGTGTTGGTTCTGCTCTTATGTTCCACTTATTGAGGTTTGTTTGGTTGTACTCGTGTTCTCCTCAAGGCTTCTTTGGATGCACTCCAAGCCACATGGGTTGGGAGGGATTAAGGTGGCTCATTCCACGTGTGTCGGATGGTTATTATCTGTTCTGACACATGTGAAATAAGGTGGATAAGAGTGTACCCATATAAGGTTTAGGTGGTCAATTTTTTCACCCCTCCTCCTTGACCTCCATCACCATTGTTGTTCATCATAGCCATAGACCCACTACAACATTTCATCGAACATGCAACATCGTGGTATTCTACAACCGGTGCTGCGAAGGCGGCAAACATACGATGCTTGTTGTATGCGGATGATGCTACTATATTCGCAAACCTAAATAATTTTCAAAAAATCCTACATTTTTTGGAGAATGCTCGGGCCTAAAAATCAATATGGAGAAGATGGAGATCTTTCCAATAAGACTTGAGCCTAACACGGTCCCTTCACTCATCCTAAATTTCCCAGGAAAAATTGGCACTTTCCTAGATAATACCTAGGGTTACCACTTCATACAAGGAAGCTAAGGAAAACTAAAGTCCAGACGCTAGTAGATAAGATCAGGGCCAGGTTGCTCGGATGGAAAGGGAAAGATTTTGTCAACTTCTAGAAGAAAACATTAGTAGAAAAAATGGTTCTCTCATCCATACCAATCTATCATTCACAGTGTTCCAGGCACAGAAAGGGGTTCTCAAAAGGATTGACAGATTACGTCATAGTTTCCTTTGGCGCGGTGAAACACCAGAGAATGGTAGTGGGGGACCACCCTTCCAAAGGAAAAGGGGGGAGTTGGTAATATGGATTTAGAAATATTCACAAGAGCTTTGAGAGCTTTGAGATTGAGATAGCTATGGTTCAAGTGGAGATAGAAGGAAAGAGCATGGACTCAATTGGAAGTTCCATGCGACAGAACCGATCATGAACTTTTCAATGCATCAACTATAGTAAACATTGGCAGTGGAAGAACAACATCATTCTGGTCATCCTCTTGGATAAATGGCACCTCGGCAAAAAGGATTGCACCTAGCTTGTTCCATGAGACACGCATGAAAAAGATTTCAGTACAAAAGGCACTAGAAAACAACAGATGGATCGATCACATCTACCCACCAGGTTCATATGAGGAGGTACCAGATTTTGTAAATCTCTGGGAGGCCATCAAGGACACGCCATTGATCAACAGGGTGGAAGAAGACATAAGATGGCGTTGGATAGAAAACCCTACATAATCCAATTAGAGGGTGCCTTTTTCAAAATCAGATTAATGCCAATTTGGAAGGCCAGAACGGAATCGAAATGTAAATTCTTCGCTTGGACCTTATGCATAAAAAAATTCTAACCGCAAACAACTTAATGAAGCGAGGATGGATGGATGGATGACCCTACGTGCAAATGTTGCAAAAACGATCAAGAGACACCAACACACCTTTATAAAAGACTGCCCTTACACAAGGAAGTTTGGGAGGTGATCAAATTGTGGTACAATTTAACTGATCTCAGCACGGTAAACTCAAGTGGCTCGCTTCATAACTTCTGGAGATGTATGTAGAAGGAAAATCGACAAAAATCAAAGACGAAGCTTTGACGAAATCTTAATATACTTTTGGTGGAATATCTGAAAATAGAGAAATAGGCGAACCTTTCAATAAAAAAAGTTTGAACCCAAGACAAGTTGACATATTGTGCAAAGATGACATCAATCAGTATACAGTGGCAACCGCACCAACGCAAAAATGCAACGAACTACAGTGGGACTAATTTTGTTTTTCTACTGGTTGCACTTTTACGGTTGTTTTCGGAGGCTGTCTTTGGCTTTGTTTTCCTTTCTGCTTTGGTTGTTTCCGGTCGTTGTTTTTGGCATAGCATGTCAGTTCGGTTGTAATTCGTGCTTTTAAATTCTCTTTTATTTTTTCCAACGTCTAATAAAATCAGCGGCAAAACTTTTGCCATCATTTCTAAAAAAAATTGAGGCTGAATATCTACATTCAAATGGGGTAATAGTGATTTAGTTTCCTCTCTTTTCAGTCAGTTTTTGCTTTTGACTGCTGTCCTCTATTGTATTTTTTTTATTTTTTTCATTCTATGCCATCCTCGCAAATCTAACAGAGTGATTGAGATATAACCATACACACACTCCCAAGAGTTGCTTCAAAAAAAATGCAAATGGTTAGCAGCCCATCGTAATGGTGTTTTAGCCCGACCTATAACAGCGATGTTTTCGGTCGGCCCATTCTTGTAAGCATATATATCGCTTAAATGGCCCTACTAGACATGTTTTAGCCCCGCCTATAACAGTGATGCTTTAGGCCAGCGGCCGGCCCATTTATGGAAGCCCAATATCGATAAAAGGGCCCATCTAGACGAGATCCGCAAGAGAACGAGATTCACGATCGAAATCGTCCATCTCTCCTCTCAAATAATCGGCGATCTCTTGCCGCCGCCCTATCATCATCCCCTATTCCTTCCCCTGCGACGAGCGAACTGGATCTGCTGCCTACCACTTCTGCCGCCTTTTTCCAATTACCACACGCTTCTCGGATTCACCCGCACCGGATGATTCCGTACAGGAAAGCAAAGAGATTCAGAAAAATAAATGATGCTCCTTATTATTACTTGTTCCTTGCGCCATTTTGTTCCGTTGCTCAAGTTGTGCTTGCGCGCCCCGCCCCGCCCCGCCCGCTCGCGGACGAGTGATGATTGTGTTTGCGATCAGCAGTGTCCGTGGCCGTGTGGGGGCGCTCTCCGCGCAGTGGCCGGGATCGGATCGTTCAAACACGTAATCAGGTGGCTTCGCAGAGCTGCCGTCTGATGCAGATTTCTGCGTCGACCTGGCTGGTCCCGTCTCCCGTCAGTCTCGTCTCGTGGCAAGCCTTCACATGTGCTGACTTCGTACTCGGTCCATCGGTCGGCCTGGCCAGTGGGCACATGGATGGACGTCGGACGATTCATGTAGCTGTGACAGAGATTTTGCGTTATGTACTGATTTAGAACTAACAAGATTGCAATATCCATATGAGCTCACTTTATGCAAAGGTCTTTTTTTTTTGACATATTGTTCCTCTGTGGATGCTCAGCGTGTTGAGCCGATGGAAACTGCAGTATTGATGGCTCTGACGTTGCCCTAACAACTGAACAAGGACATCCAAGATTGGGAAGGCAACTCGGCATGGGCGTTGGCCCAGCAGCAGGCCACTGGAAGGTTTGTCTTTGCTTCAACATTGGCATATTTTTCGACTAAGATATGTTTTCTAAGGTCTTGATCAGTGAAAATCAACTTGGTAGACGTTATCACGCCAATATCATCGAAACAAACACCTAAACAGTCAAGTAATAAGGTGCTATAGTACTCAGAAGGTCTTTCCAATGTCACTGCTACTCAGCGAAATCAGATGTTTTCTTTATCAACAGGACTCATCTGCCCCAACTTGGTGAAGCAGTCAGTGTTCTTCATCTACATCAGCGTTTTTACTTCATCAACAGAGGCATCCATGGCATCTACTGATTCTGGTCTGGTCAGTACCTAAAGTATCTAATTTCCACGCTAAGATGAGTACTGGTCTGTGGACCATAACAATCGCCATGTTCGTTTAGGCTTGTTTGGCTGATAAGCCATGGCTGAAAGTACTGTTGACTGATTTGGTGTGAGAAAAATACTGTTTGTTGGCTGAAAAAGTATGACTTATAAGCCAAACAAGCCCAAGCGAACAGGAATAATGTCCTCCGTCTGCTACGCAAATCTCACAGTGACTGTTGGATGGACGGTTCGCGGTCTGATTGCTGTCAGGCCTATGTTTGGTTACAATTGTGCAAGAGAACAGCTGATCAGGGTGATGTAATCTAGGAAGTGTGGATCTGTCAAATAGCTCCTGGACTCTTGGCTATGTGGGGAAAAGCACGGCCATGATGGGCATGATGCTTCTTGCATGTGCAGCACAGGAAATAAGGGCTACTGATTAGTGCAATCTATAATACAGTTTCTTTCTCTTTTTTTTGTTCCCTCTGTTGTGGTTACGATTGAACTTGGTGGTGCCCAGTGAGCCAATTGGATGGTTTGTTCTACCATGAGAAATTAAATTCACCCAGTTTAGTGCACTGACAAACTGATCTTTTTACTTGGCAGAGAGTAATGCTGGCGACTGGTGAGTGGTGACTGTTGGCCTCTTGATTTTGACTAATGGATATGCCAACAGAGTAACATGCTTATGTTGGAGGTTAGTTTTCTGTCCTTATAAACTACTGCATTGTCACATAGTCTCATGGAGCTTGAATATATGCCACTTGTACAAGTGTATACTTAAGCAGCATATCCTTGCCATTTCTGCAGTTTAAGAGGCTATCTCAAATGAGCATTTAGCCTTCTGAATTGTCAAACCTGATGATTGTCCTATTCCATTGCTTTGTGGTTGGGCTATTTGATATTTTTGCACTGCACTTAGACAACCTACACTGTACTGAGTTTTTCATGTAAAAAGATGGTAGCACCATGTATTAGATTGGCACATCATCATCGAGCATGCAGCAGATAGCTCTACTTGTCCTAATGATCACAGGGAAGAAAAAGCTGCTTAAGCACCACTGGCATACAGCACACGATGACCCACCCAACTAAGTATATATACCCCTAGCTGATCTAGATATCCCTCCAGAAGGATTCAACAGCACATCATTACGCATGCAATTCCATTAGGCCATTAGCTAAAACGAAGCAGACGTTCTTGACATGCATCCAGAAGAGGTAAACCGGTAATGATAACTACAAACTTATAGCTAGCTCGTGACTAGAACTAATCAAGCCGCATCAGTTTGCGACCGCCTTCTTTGGCTTGGGCGACGCCGCCTTCTCGTGGCCGGCATGCGCCCCTAGACCTGGAGCGGCGGCATTGAGGTCCGGGATCGGCGTGCGGTTGCCTGCTGCTGCCGCCACATTCCCGTTGGCCTTGGCGTTGCCGTTGTTGTTGGCCGCCGCCGCCGCCGTTTTGGCGATGCGCTGCTTGAGCTCGGTGAGCAGGGCCTGGTTCTCCTGGTTCAGCAGCAGCGCCTTCTTGCGCAGCCGCTCGTTCTCCTTCATGATGAAGCAGTTCTGCAGGTACAGCTTCGCGTTCAGTCTGTCCATCCTCGATCGCCCTTGCCTGCCATGCCACAACAGGGAACGAAACGAAGTTAGTAGAGATAGCAGTCAGACATGGTTGCCTGTGGGGGCCCCATGTTTCAGAGTATCAGACATGTAAGTCATGCAAAATGGAACAGAGTGCTAGCAGAGCAGCAGCAGTAGATACTGAAACACGTCCATTCTGAAACTTCTATTCAATAAAAAAAAGGGACTGTAGAGAGTTTTGCTGATTCTAGGCACATCATTACACTTACACCATTGTTAATCAAGCATACTCCACGCTAGTACAGCCTCCCACTAGAAAGAACATCCAACTTGCAAGGTTGGTTGCCAAGGCATCCCCTATAAACAAATCAAAGGCATTGGGGGCAGCAGATTGTGAAAAGCAGAAACGAACAAAAAGGGAATGAAGCACCAAGTGTTCTACTTCTACTGTTCTACACCATGGTACTAAGAGAGAAGGTGAGGCCCCATTTGCCACACATGGATCCATGATTGTGCATGCATGCAATGCAAGAACCAAGCGCATCGCCATGGAAAAAGTGACGAGACTGAGAGCATGCATCACCTCGTTGGACGAAGCCGCTCGCTCACTCGAGTAGCAAGCAGAGGCCAGAGGGGGGGGCAGGCCGTGGATGGAGATTGCTGGTGGGGGCAGCAGAGAGCTGAGAGGCTGGAGGCAGGCAGCTGGGATCGATGGCGAAGTCCACCACTGCCTTTCTGCGACGAGCTTGTGTTGGATTGCTGGCACATCCGGGTGGATGTGTGGTGGGGCTTATTTATAGGCGCGCGACCTCGATCTCGCCTCGCCCTCGCTGACGCGCGGGCCCGCGTGGTGGCACTGGCATGGCGCGTCGCACGTACGAGGGGGCTAGCAGCTAGTCTGCCACTCATGACGCCTTTGAACTTGCGCAGAGGGACAGAGGGGTGCGGGGACGCAACGGGGGCGAGCGAGGCCGGCCGGCGGCAGGGCGGCGTAAATGGTGGCTAATCATGAGGCCGGGGTGTGGTTGCCTGGCCGGCTGGCCTCACGTGATGCTGGCCGGCCGCGTCTAGACTTCTTCCCCTTGTGCGCGCCACCGCATGCACGCTGACTGCACGGCCGGCGGTGTCTCGCCGTTGCCGGCCGGTAGAAAACAGCACGTACAGAGAAATTATGGCCCGAGTTATGTTGCTAGCTTACTTTTTTTCTGCGAGGATGCTAGTTGCTTACTTATGGCACATCAGCACCCAAGGTCGTGTTGGGACGAAAGCTCGTGTAGCTCAACCACCGGCATGCCACATTTCACATAACATAGTCTGTGTTTGGATCCCACCAAAATTCTGGAAGCTAGATTCTAAAAGCTAGATTCTAAAAGCTGGATTGATAGACTGTTTGGATCCACAGCTTCCAAAAGCTATGACAAGCTACAGTACAGAGTGAAATTACAAAAAATACCCTTACTCAGTAAATTCGACTACTGCTACGCCTAGGAGAAATACGGATGGGTAGAATAGTCTTTTAACATCTAAAAGCTACAAAAAGTTAGGTTGGTTCAGCTATCCAGATTGTATAATCTGAAGCTGTGTAGATTCTATAAGCTGGTTATAATCTAGACCATCATAGCTAAGCTAAGCTAAGCTAGCCCTGGTTTGTCAAGAGGTGATCATGCATCCACCGGACACACGAGTAAATTCTGCTGCATGATCTGGTGAGCCCCAACGTGCAATGCTTCTCGCCACTGTACTTCATCCTTCCATTGCACACTCATGCATTCCTCTACTTTTACAGCGGGGAAGTGCAGCAACCGATGTTAATAGTCTACTAGAGCTTTATTTAGTGGTTTGACACTTGAGGCCAAGCCAGAATGGGTTAGTGAGAAAAAGGTCAAGCTGGGTACGACGAGGGGAAGGGGGGCTTCAAACGATGATGATGATGGGCCTCGACCGGCCCAAGATTCGTAATGATGGCTCGCATCCGGGTCCTCGCTCATCATCACGCGCCACACCTCTTCTCTTTATTTTTTCACTCTTTCTTTAGTTACCGTCTCCTTTTTTTTTTTTTACAATACAAGGGGCATGATTATCATCGCTTTACTGCGCGCAATTGAATGCCTCACGATTGAAGGCCCTTTCTCACCTCCTCTGTTTTTACTGCACGCCTGTCATCTCTCATGTCTTTTTCGCTCTTCCTTCTTTACCCTTTTTCTTTTTGGCTTGGTTCACCTCTTGCTTTTGCAAGCAATGCACCTGCTGAACGTGGTTGCTGGCTTGCTGCAAACCGCAGTCCCTGAAGGAAATCCATGTGGCGGCAGCACTAGTGGTGCTGCTAGGGTAGAAAAGGAGATCGAGAGAGAAAAAAGAGGCAATGATTTGAACAACCTGGCGTTAAGAATGCAAATATTCGAGAGCAATTTCTGGAATTAAAGCATGTTTGGTTAATTGCTAACGTTTTTTGAAAGTTATATACTCCTCCGTATATCGTTTATCCTAAGTCCAATAATTCTACATTTAGCCAAGTTTATAGAGAAAAAACACAAAATAGATATACTATGATACATTTGGTATCATAAATATTGATTTTTTAATAAGTTTGATCACACTCAACATGGTTTCACATAGGATAAAATAGGATGGCTTTTCTTTAGAGATGGAGGGAGGCTTTCCCCCCTCCCAAAAATGCAACTCTTATTTTTTTTTTTTGTAAGAAGTTAAACAATTCTAATTTTTTCTAAATCTATAAAATATTAACATTTATAATATCAAATTAGTATTATTAGATTAACCCATGGAATATATATTTTATACTAACCTGTTTGAGGCATAAACATAATTTATTATTCTAAACTTAGTAACTTTTCACTATATGGCTGATAACTTGCTAATAAATAATACACCCTCCATTCCGTTCTGTCCCAAAAATAATAATTTTCTAAGGTTTAAAATTTATCTAAAACGGAAATATTGGACACTACCTCCTAATGCAGAAGTTAATCATGAGTGCATGTAAACAATAATTGTCATATCTAGGAGATATTCTCCGGGGCCGGGAAAGGAAAGTTGGCAATGATACATTTGCTAGTGTCCTAAATCTGTATGAAAATTTCTATAAAGTTAATTATTGTGGGACAAAGGGCGTATAGTCGTTACAAGTTTTCTAGATATATAATACTATATATCTAGACATAATCCATATCAAGGTACGTAGCAAATGCTATCTACTAAAAAAATACATAACAACTTATAATTTTGGATCGTAGGAGTAACAATTAAAACCAGCAAAGTTAGCCATAAAAACTGAGTTCGTGTGGCATATGGTGCTAACCATGTGTGGTGTGAAAGAAATACTCCAGACACTAGAGACATCAACATAGCTAAATCAGAAAGGAAAAAAAAGAACTTGGTTTCTGCTCTTTCTGAATTCCACGGTGCCATTGGTTTCTGTTTCAGAAAATGGAAAGTGTTCTGCCCTCTGCATCTTCAGTGCACTTAGTATATCTTTCGTTATTACATCATCATAAACGCATTGTCCATGGTTTGAACTTTGAAGTAAGTCTGAGTCTGTAATAATATAAATAAACAACAAGTCATTGGCGTCAAAACAAAAGCTTGTTACTAAATCACACGATCTTATAATGCCATGCTCAAGGAAACATTAGCATCAAATGGTATCCAACATATAAATGGTCAAATCTGTTTTGTTTAAATGTTGCAATGTGTCCCTGTTCGTTTGGGCTGGTTTGGCTTATAAACCATGACTGAAAGTACTATTGACTGATTTGGTGTAAGAGAAAAATAATATTCATATACTGATAAGCCATGATTTATAAGTCAGATACGAGCAAGCGAACAGGAGGCCACCACTTGAGAGTTGAGACACGCTTTTCCATCGATACCGCCAGTCTTTTCGGGGACACGGAGTATTGGATCGGAGTCTAGTCCCACATGCATGCCAGTGATGATATATATATCACTGAAAAGTGCACGTTAAGCAGATTTTGAGCGCGGTTGCAATACTAGGCCTCGTTTAGATTGTAAGTTTTTTCACTCTCTCTTCATCATATTAAATCTTTGGACACATGCATGAAGTATTAAATGTAGATAAAAAATAACTAATTACACAGTTTGATTGTAAATTACGAGACGAATCTTTTGAGCCTAGTTAGGCCATGATTGGACAATAAATGTTAAATACAAACGAAAGTGCTACAGTACCAAATACTGATTCCTAACCCCAATCTAAACAAGGCCCTAGACACAGGATGCATCCATGAAAAAGGAAAATTGGAGAAAAATCTAACCAAATCTTTTCCAAGGCACTAGGAGAATCATGATTGTACTGATTGAACTCCCCAGCAACAATGCTAACACTAGACAGTAGACACATGATCACAGGACCAATAATGATTCATGTGACGGTTCATAAAAAAGAGTTATGGTCCCCGTGACAAAGTGTAGTTACGCGCGGTCCAATCCTTGTCATAAATGTAACACCCTAGTTGTTAGGTTTGCACTTTTGCACTTGCATTGCATGAACATAAGCATCATTCATTCATATATGAGCATAAACATATGAAACATATAAAACATATCCTTTGTTATTCCATGTTGCAACGTGTGTATACTTTATGGTCATGCTTGTTAATGCAAGTGGTTGACGTTGATCACTAAAACACTTCAGGCACACTTAGGATGGTACAAGAAACAAGTTTGGTATTCATGACTTGGACCAAAACAGCCCCCAAGTCATAGTTATTCTAGAAACTCCAATTTTCATGATCCTACTTTGACCAAAGTTGAACTATAGCATAGAGTGTTTGTATGGCAGTGCACCCTTAAGCAAAGTTGTAGTATTTGAATAGAGTAACAACTTTCATTTTTGGGCCAAGACCTAATTCAGTGCCTAACATAGTCCAAAATAACTCTAAATTAGCAAAGAAATATTGTTTTTGGATATGGAGAATTTGCTGTCCTAAAACCATTTACAGTTTCAATGTGCGTCACTTGGGAGCATTGTAACTGGC